GTGCAGCGCAGCTGTTGGCTGCCCAAGGACACCAGGCTGGGGTGGGAAGGGATAAGGGGGCTGTGGGGGGAGGATCCCTGGGGCCTGGGGTGGAAAGAGGTGTGGATGCTGGAATGGAAGAGGTTGCTGAGGGGGCAGTGGCCCAAATGCTGCCCTGGAGGGATGTGGCTGGGGCCCAATCCTGGGGCCCTGGGGTGGGGGGAACGCCGTGGGTACCCCAGGAGAAAAGTGGTGCTGAGCTGAGGGTGCTGGAAGAGGTTGCTTGGCCCCAACAGGGTACGTATAGGGTGCAGGCAGGGGTTGCTGGGGGAAGCAGGGTTGCGGAAGAGCAGGGCTGGGGTTTGGCCGGAGTGCCATGTGGCTGGAGATGGGGGCCTGGACGCTGTCCACCGTGGTGGTGGCTGGCCGAACTGCCATGCGCAACTCAGGGCCGCCAAACTGGGGAGGCGGGGCAGAGGGCAGGCCTGTGACGGGTGGGGGTGCCCCCACAGCCCCATAGGGACTGCTCACTGTGCCATGCTGTGGGGAGGACCGGGGCACAAGGCCCAGCTCTGGGGTATAGGCAGGGGCTGGGTAGAGGACAGGTGCAGGTGCCATGGGCATGGCGGGGGGCCCTGAAGCCCTGGCCTGCAGCAGTGGGCTGGGGCCTGAGTAGGTGCCAGCGGGGAGGGAGCCTGAGACGTAGTGGGGGCCTGGGACAGTGGAGCCAGGCAAGGGGCCAGGTGTGAAGTGGAGCGGGGTGGCAGCTCCCAGGAAGGCATCAGGCAGCCGTGGGCCAGCCACCATGTCGGGGGGCAGGCTGCGCAGCTCCTCTGGTGGGTCCCCCGTCTCCACTGCCTCACCCTCCTCCCTGCGAGGCAGCAGTGGCTTCGGGGCTGTTGGCCGTGGGGGCGGCTTCTTCTTTAACTCTCTGGGGACAGGCAGGGAAGTGAGGCCACTCTGTGAACCCAGCCCACATGGGTGCCAGCCAGTGCCTCAGAGGCTGGGGGCCACACTCACCGGTCTAGGAGCTGCTGGCGTGCGGTCTCTCGCGCCTGGCAGGCAGACTGCGTCCGTTCCAGCAAGGCAGCCACCTTGCTCTCCAGGTCTGCATAGAAGTCCTTGCCCTCTTGGGATTTCTTCATTAGGTCCTCGTAGGCTTCGTATGAGGCCACCAGGGTCTGTAGTGTAGAGTTCCACCTGGCGGGCAGAAGGCTGGGTTAGTGAGCTGCCCCAGGTGAGGCGGGGTGGGGTGGGGGCAGTGGCACAACTCGGGCACTGACTTCTGGTCCAGGCCGCTGAGCACCCGCCGCACAGCCGCATACTGCACGTTGGCCTCAGTGAGTGCACGGAGCACGTTGTCCTGGGCAGCCAGGTTCTGCTCCAGGTACACCCGCAGCTGGTCATATTTCTTCAGCTGTTCCTCAAACAGCTTCTAAGGAGGTGAGGGGGAGAGGGCACTCAGGGATTCGGCACCTCAGGGCAGGGCAGAGCCCTCACCTGCTGCCCATCCACCACCCACCTTCATCTCTGAGTGGTCAGCGGTCACCAGCGAGGTGGTGATGTCATCCTTCTGGATCAGCTCACGCAGCTGCTGCTCCAGGGACACGCGCTGGTCACGCATCTCCTGCACCTTGGCCAGGATGCGCTTCAGGTTCTGCAGCACAGCCCTGTCCTCTGGGGGTGGCAGCCACCAGTGAGGCCAGTGCAAGTCCAAGCTCCCACACTTGCATACACACATGTGTAGGGGTGACAGCTCACCTGGGGTGAGGGCTGGTGTGGGCAGGGCAGCCCGGACCTGGTCCAGTGGTCCACTGAGCAGGCGGAGATTGCCCACGTGCAGGTTCATGGCTCGGTGCAGCTCACTGTTGGTGAAAGATGCCTTCTCATGCACTTCCATGTACTTGGTCCACTCTTTCCTCACCTCTGCCAGTTCTGCCTTGGTGGTGGCTGGGCAGGCCCCAGCCTGGCCCACGGCCTCCTGCAGCTTCTGCTCTTGCAGCTCATCCTCCTCCAGCAAGGTCCTGATGTCCTTCAGGGAGGCCTCCACATCCGTGAACACGCCCGACAGCACTGGGGTAGAGAGGGCAGCCCCTGAGACAGGCTTGCCAGGCTCCCCTCGGCCAGCAGCCCATTTGATCAGGGCCTGTGTGTGGCCCAGCCTCCCTCAGTGACGGGCCGGAGGGAGGCCACAGCTGATGACTTGTGCTTCCCTCCGCACCCGCTCTGCCCTGACTCACCCTGCATGGACTGGACAAGGTTCCTGACGGTGTCAGGACGTACGCTAAGTGCTGCACACTTCTCCATGAGCTGGGGTGGGATGTGGCTGTATGTGTCCAGGTTGTCCACTGTCTCAGGATCCAGCTGCATTGAATCCATGAACTGGCTATGGGGGTTAACCAGGCGGGGTTAGTGCTGTGTGCCAACCCAACTCCTGCTGGGGTGCGACCCTCTCTACTGAAGCTGGGTCTAGGACCTAAGAGCAAATCCTCTCCACCGACCTCTACAACTTCTACCAGTGCCATACCCAGGGACAGCTTGGAACTGGCACAGAAGGGCCTCCAAGCCCCAGGACTCACATCTAGCCCAAGCTCCTGGGCAGGGCGCAGGCTGGGAAAGCCACCATGGCCCAGGCAAGACACTGCACTCCTCCCTCACCCATGCAGGTAGCAGTCTGGCCTCCCTGAGGGCTGTGCCCCCACCCCGCACTTACTCCAGGACCTCATTCTTGTCCTCGATCTTGGCCATCACCTCCCGAAGCAGCTTGGCCTTCTCCTCACTGTGGAAGCCACAGAGCAGCTACTAGACAGCCATGTCTCCTGAGATGCCCGACTCCTCCCGCGCCGAGGGTAAGCAGACCCACCCACCTGTACAGTGACGAGGCCTCATGGGCAGCCATGGGTACCAGTTTGGCAAAAATGTCAGGGCCTGTGACAGCTGGGTCCGTGGGGTTCACAGGCAAGGGCTTCACCAAGGGAGCGCCTGGGTCAGGAGAACATCAGGCCCATGGAGACCCCTGTCCATCCTCCCCTCACACCCACTCCCCAGCCTCCCTTAGCCCCAGACCTTTCACAGGTTGCAGGGTGTCCAGGGCTGGCACAGCCTCATGGTAGATGAAGTCATTGTCCTTCTTGGCAGAGTTGTATCTGGGGGTGAGGAATTGGGCCTCAGCAGGACCTGAGACCTAGTCTCCTGTGGGTGCACAGCTCTCTGCTGGCGCCTCCTCCCCAGAGTACAAGCAGAGGATGAGATACCCCACAGTAAGAGGGAGCCCCACACTCACTTTCCCCCAATGACATCCATAGTGAAGCGAAGTGCGTCTTGCACAGTGTCAGGCTGGCCCTGGGGGTAGCACAGGAACAGGACCTCAGCATCCACCAGTGTGCCAGGCTAGGGCAGCCCTGCTAGGCTTGCTCCCTCACCCAGGCTGTGAGGGCAGCCAGGCCTCTCTAGCCTTACCTTGGCCAACTTGATGGCTTCATTAAGCTTGTCCAGGGCGCTCTGGAAGTAGGCCACCTGCAGAGGACAAAGCCTGCTCTATTGTCCCTGTGTGGCCTCTGCTTCTCCTGCCTGGCCACCCAGTGACTATCCAAAGACCAGAAGCACAGCCAGCAGCATCAAAGCTGTCTTACCCTACAGATTACACCCGGGATGAGCAACTCACAGGAGAACAACACTTAAGAAGCAGTGGGCCTGCAACAGGGTGGCAGGTGCGTGAGGGTGACGCAGAGACCACCTCACCACTCTCCAGGATAGGATCACAGCGTCTGTGTAATGAGGCTTGAAGGGGCCCAAGCACCCCCGCCATAACCCACTTACCCGCTCCCCGAACTTCTGCTGCTCCTCAGCCTGCTTCCCCATATGTAGCTAGGGGAGAAGAGGAGGCATAAGACTTGGTCCTGACCCAGGTGACCCATCCCAGAACAGCCACGGGGACAAAGCTCACATGCGCCACTGCTGCAAAGTAGTAGATCTTCATCTGCACCAGCTTCTTCCAGTCCTTCTGGACGCGGCCCAATAGAGAGGCAGTGTCGGGGTTCTCCAGGGCCCGGCACGCCTCCTTGTAGTAGTCAACTACCTGGGGCGGGACAGGATGGACGGTCAGAGGAGGCCAGGGCAGGGCGCAGCCCACCTTAGCCCACCCCTACCTGTGCACTGATGCGGGCCACCAGGAAGCTCTTCCGGTTGTCCAGCATAGACTTCTCCAGGAGGCACTCCTGTGCCTGGCCCTAAGGACACACACAAGTCACTCCCCTGCTTACCTGGAGCCCCCCCCCCCCGGGGAGGGCAGTGCAGATGACAATCGAGGGATAGCCTTCGCTGCCATCTCCCCTCCAAGTCAGCCCACTCTGCCCCTGGGACCTCTGCATGAGGTTGGTCCAGGGCCCGAACCTTACTGCCTCACCCTGGCCACCGCTGCCCCTAGATCCAGCTGGCTCAACCCCTCCTCACCAGCATGAGGTTGACATTGAGGGTGAGGATCTGGCGGCTCATGTCCACGCTGTAGGCCTGAGGGAAGTGCTCCCGCAGGTAGGCAAAGGCGCCCGCTGCGCACTGGAAGTGGGTGCAGGAGACCTTCATGCCCTGTGAGAGAGCACAGGAGCTGGTCAAGTCTCCTCTCGGGGCAGCACTCACCAGCGTGTCCCGCAACTGCTGCCTCCTCACCTCCTCAGACACCCGCTTGTCCATGGCCCCCAGCATGGAGTGCAGCGCGCCTGGGGAAGCAGAGGACATGGAGTTAGGGAGCCAGGGCTGGGCTCTGTCAGCCATGACTGTGTCCCAGGAGGTCAGAGGGGCACTGTGCCAGCCCACCAGGAATGCAGGTCTGTAGGGCCACAGTCCAAGGGCCCAGGAAATCTAGCAGCCCAGCCCAGGCCTGGCTTCACTCTGTGGGGCTAGGGCACAGGAAGGAGGGGCTGCTCTCTAGAGCCCAGGGATCCCCTCGAGAAGCTTCCAAGATGGCTACAGACTCCTCTACTGCTCCTCCCGCTCCTCCTTGAGCCAAGGTGGTCCAAAAACCACAGATCTGCTGTCAAGTCTAGGAATAAAGGCTGTCTCTCCTGCCAGGGCACACAGGAGCAGCCCTGTGGGGTGCCAGCAGGGGCTGCAGGATGTGCTAAAGGCTGAGAAGGAGATTGGCAGGGCCAGGAGGTCATGGGGAAGGACTAGATGGCTCACCAAGGTTGTAGAGGATACAGGCCTGCTCATACTTGATGTCCTCATGAGTCATAGTCTTGCCTGAGAAGATCTCAGTCCTGCAGATGTGGCAGTCTGGTCACTAGAGGGCAGGGCTGACCAGGGCTGAGGGGACCATTGCCCCAGTGTGTGTATGTGGGGGGCAGGAGACCCCATAGGGCTACTCCTTACCCGTGCAGCACAAGACAACAGAGGGCAGAGGAGAAAGAGCACTGCCACCACCTGGGCACCCAGCCCTATGCCCCAGCCCTGCTGCTGGTACTCACCAGGTGACAGGGACTGCAGCCTCCTGCCCTGAGCCCATGGGGACACGACTCTGCAGGTAGTGCAGCTGGCCGAGGTACTTTCGGAGAACGCTGCAGCCCTCAAAGTCCCGGGCAACGCGGACGGCATTCTGGGGGTTGGGAAGGGAAGAACAAGTGAGCTCACCCACAGATGCCAGGAAACACCAGAACTAGAGCTGGCAGAACCACACACAAAGAAGCCAGGTGCTCAACAGATCGCCTCACTGTCAGGGCTGGCTGCCCACAACAGGACTCCTAGAAAGCGGCTCTCAATGGTCACTTGGTTTTTTAGAGGGGAAAGGGTTACAAGAGACCGAATGGGGCAGCACTGAGCTACATCCCCACCCCTTTTAAACTTTGAGACACAGTCTCAATGAGGTGCCCAGGCTGGCCTCACTTGCAGTCTCCCTGCCTCAGCTTCAAGAGCAGCTGGCATTACAGATGTGTGTTGGTACATCTAGAGTTCTGTATCTAGAAATTTACATCATGAGACATCTAGGAAAGCAAATCTTTGTAAGGATATTTACCACCAAATGACCAATGACAAACTGTATGCCAGCCCACCTTCTATTCTAAAGAACACATGAAATAAATTACTCTGAAGACAGCCACAAGAGGATATTCTGCAGCCATGAAAACTAAAGATGAAAGTCTCTATTGACACGTTAAGATGTCCTTGACATACTGTTAGGCAAAAAAGCACATCGCAGATGAATCATATGATCTTACTTGGGTAAAACCACAGAGATATTTTCTACATCCACATGCAGACAAAAAGGAAAAGAATTCAGAAGACTATATATAGAAATGATACCAGTGATTATTTCTAGGTAATAAGATTAATTTCCCTTTCTACACATATACTGTAGGTAGGTAAAGAGATAAAGGTATGTGCCTGGTAGAGATGTATTTAATTCCTTATATTGTTTATATATATTCTTTACTCTAAATATTTTCAACTTTTATAATAAACAGCAAAGGTATTCCCAGTTGGGGAAAACAAAACAAATGAACCCTCTGCTCAAACAGAAAAGCAGACAACATAACCTCCAGGAAGCAGGTACCCAAGCCAGGCATGGTGCTGCACATCTGTAATCTAGTGCTCTGGGAAGCTGAGGCAGGAAGATCACTAGTTTGAGCCCAGCCTGGGTAATTTTAGAGATTTAGTGAGACCCCGTCTCAAAATAAAGCACAAAAAGGGCTAAGGATGTAGCTCAGTACAAAAGCCCTGGGTTCAGTTCCCAGAAAAAGGAGCTGGGCCAGAAGCACTACAAACCCTTGTCTGTCTGCCCTGCTAAGACATAGGACCAGCTGAGGAATCCCTCTTGCACCCAGAGAGCTCAGCTAGAGAACAGGCCCTGCTCCAAGAAACTCCTGGCTGGCTCCAGGGCCTGTGTTCCTTCAGTGTCTCTTCAACCAGGACAGCCTCCCTATGTCACACCATGTGCTGCTGCCACTGCAGGGCTATTGTACCTGGCCAGGGCTTCAGAAACACTCCCTCTCACCTTAGCCCTCCGCCCCCACCCTTCATATGCAAGCCCAGTCCCACTGAACAGTGTTCTTGAAACAAACCCATTTAAAAAATCAGACTACCAGATAAAGCAGCAATAGCTCCAAAGTAACAGGTCTGACGTGGGCGCTACACATTTTTTAAAACACTAAAGCACGCACAGAAACACGAACATAAGAAACATCTGTACTTCCTAAAACTGCTTGTGGTACTCAACAGCACAGTCTTCACCCACTCAGAACCTGTCCTGGCCAGTGCCACAGGAGTCTGAAAGCAAGGAGTGGATGTGGGTCAGAAAGTCTCATAAACAACCAGCCCAGGGGCCAGGGATTTAGCTCAGTGGTTCCTCCACTTGCTTCACAAGCACAAGGTCCAGAGTTCAATTTCCGGTACAAAAACAAAAACAACAACAAAAAAACCCACAGCCAGTCCTGCTTTATACATACATGGGAAAACTGAGGCCTGGATCAGGAAAAGACGCTAATTTAAAGCTTCCCCGATTATACTGACATTCCTTTACAAATCAGTTACACAAAAGGGCAGTCTGAGTCTTGCTGGCTCTGCTGGGCATTTCTCTGTGCTGTGATATGTTTTCCCTATTCATTAAAAAATAGAAGCCAGATGTGGTAGCCAAATCCTAGTGCTTAAGCTGAAGCAAAAAGATCTTAAGTCTGAAACCAGCCTGGGCTACATAGTGATTCCAAGGCCAGCCTGGACTATGGGAAAAACAAGACAAGACACAAACCAACCACATTAGTACCAAAATTTCTCATTTACATTTTACTTTATATGTTGCTGAGTCTGGGAGATTTTTTAGTCTACAAATTATTTCATTTGAAAAATTACTCTCAGCGTTCTAAGTAAAAAATGTCCTATGAACTTACCAGAACAAGCAACGCTGATATGGCCCAATATGCACAGGAAGACACCTAGGCTGGCACAGCACAGGCCCCAGTCTCCTGGTCCAGCTGCCCTCAGGGTGGTCCTATTCTGCCCACAGCTCTGTGCAGGCTGCTGCCCCGGCCTAGGGACTGGTGACCACAGTGCTGCTGAGGAGTGCTGTACACTGTGTAAAACACTCTACTCCTACCTGTCTAAGCAGCTCCAGCTTCTTCAGTTCCTCATTGTAGGCTTCTGGGTTCTCTCCGTAATTCTTCAGGACAAACTAGAGAGAGAAAGAAGAATGTGAGAGAGCACACACAGCCCTGCTCTGAGACCAGAGCTAGGCCACAGGATCAGGTTCAAGCCTACAACCAGGAACTGGTCTCCTGGACCACCAGGAACTCTGCCTCACAATGGGCAGCAAGCCAGACATGGGGATGCAGGCCTGTAATCCCAGCACTCAGCAGGCTGAGGCAGGAGGATCACTGTGAGTTCGAGACCAGCCTGGGATATATAGTTCCTGCTCAGTCTCAACTACATAGTGAGACCCTGTTTCAAAACAAAAACAAACAAACAAAAAACACCAGGGCTCTCTCAGCTCCAGGAGCCAGGGAGCTTAGCTGGCTGAACTGCAACCCAATGAGGATCCTAAAGGGTCACAAACTCAAGCCTCCCACAACCATAACATCAACTGCACAGCACATGTGGGTGGGGCACCGAGCCGGGCAGTACCCAGGCCTTCCTCACCAATCTATACTGACTGGGTAAGGGTGCCATAGAACCAGGTGACTCATAGTGTCCCTGTCTGTGAGGAAAGACCTCAGCTGAGAGGGGAGTAACACAGGCAGAACCAGAGAAGCCACTGCCCCAGTCGGAAAGGGGACGAGCAGACCGGCCACACTCACCACAAAGCAGACTGTCTTGGCCTGGGATATCTTGGACCCCAGCCTGGAGGCCTGGACCAAAGGGCCCTTGTCCCAGGCAGATCAGCAAACTGTAGCAGAATCAGTCTTGCTGCAGCCTCTGCACCTGGCACACTGAACAATCTGGGGACCCAGTCACATCACAGAGAACATTGATGATCAACTCTCCAGGCTCAGGCCCAGGTTTGTGAGGGGAGAGGGAAGAAGGCTGGAAGTGACTGTTCAGTGGCCCACCTGTCCTTCCTGGGTCCGTTCCTACATCCCTGACATACTAAGGAGTCAGCCAGGTGGGACTTGAGACTGGGGGACAGTCACCATCTGCTCCGGCAGGCAAAGGGAGAAAAGTGAGACTGGAGGCGACTGCAGAGCTCGGCACTACACCATCCAACTGCTTTCCTAAACCCCCAGTCCGAAGGCCCCTCCTCCTGAAAGTCCCTGTTCCCAACCCACCCTTTCAAATCCATCCCAACCCAGTGCCCTGAACTGTCTAACAATCGCCAATGTTGCTGAAACATGCACACCTTTGGGGGAAACCCCGCTTATCTCAGGGTAGTGAAATCCTAAGGGTGTGTAATTAAGAAAAAAAGTATGACCCAAAAAGGATGTGCTACAGGAACCTCCCAGAACCTCTGAGAACAATCAATCTTGGCCTAGGCTTTGTGACAGCTGTCAAGGACTCCTCTGCCAACTCCTAGGGTCAGTCACCCAGCTAACGGTGACTTGGAACCACTGCTCTGAGTACCAAGGCTGCTGTACCTGTTGTCCTGCCTGTCAGACTGTGTGCCCATGGTAAGAGCAAGCCAGGGACCCACCCCACGCCAAATAAACTAGGAAAGGCAGGGGCTCTCTTAGACATGTGCACACTGCAAATGGTGGCCTTACAGGAAATGCAGAGGAAAGACCCACAATTTCCACTAGGAAATACTCAACTTTAAAGATAGGCTATTAGCAAGCAATCCAATCTCTTTCAAAGATTAGTTTCATTTAAACAGTGAAGGCCTAGAGATGTAGCTCAGAGGTACAGACAGCACTTGCTTAGCATACGTGAGGCCCTCCCTGGGTTTAGGCCCCAGCAAAGCAAAGTAGGGCTCATATTCTAAACTAAACAACTACATGGAGAGAATAATTAAGTACAATATGACAACTACGGTTGAATCTAAATTTGAAAAAAAGGAGTCATAAAAGATACTTTGGGAGTCAGGCACAGTGGTGTATACCTGTAATTCCAACACTCTGGGAGGCTGAGACAGGAAGATCACAAGTTTAGGCCCTACCTGGGGAACTAAGTGATTTAATGGATCCTGTCTCAAAGGGGAAGGGGGACAGATAAAACTTAATCATGGCAGATATTTTAATGTTATTTTGATTAGTAAATATTTGTGATAGTGAGTACATTCATCTAGGGGAGTTTGTACATATCAGATGTAAATCCTTTTTACTTCCCTTCCCCTCCCACCTCTAAATCCCCTTCCTAACTGCAAAATGTCTACCACCCTATTTCCTATTGTCTTTTTCTTTCAAATTTTTATTAGTACATGCTTGTAGCATATACTGATTACATTCATCAGAGGGAGCTTATACATGTACACACTGAATTTTTTTTTTTTTTTTGGTTTTGTGAGACAGAGTCCAACTATGTAATCCAGGCTGGCCTTGAACTCACAGCAGTCCTCCTGCCTCAGCCTGCTGAGTGCTGGGATTACAGACATGCGCCACCACACGCAGCTACATACTGAGTCTTAATCCTTTTATACTTTTCCTGCCTTGTCCCTCCCTCCCCACCTACATCTCTAGATCCTCTTCCCACTTGTAAAGGTCTACTTCCCTGTTTCCTATCTTTTATTTTGCTTGAAAATTATTAAAAAATTACTTATGACTCATTTCTCAACTAAGAGAAATCATGTGATAATTTAAGCTTGTGTATGTGATTTATTTCACCAAGTATGTGTTCTCAAGGAGCATCCATTTTCCTACAAATGACTCAAATTTTCCCTTCTTTATAGCAGAGTAGTGTTCCACTGTGTATACACACATTTTCTTTATCCTTTCTGTTGACGGACATATAGGCTACTTCCAAGATTTAGTTATTATGAGTTGTGCTCCTATAAACATGGCAATACAAGTTTCAATGTAATATGATATCTTTAACTCTTTTGTTTTTTTTTTTTGATACCGGGGATTGAACTGGGGTCCTTGTGCTTGCAAGGCAGGCCACCAAACTGCTGAGCTAAATCCCCGGCCCAGAGGTCTTTAACTCTTTAGGAAAATATCCAACAGGAACATAGCTAGGTCAAATTAAATTACTTTTTTATTTATTTATTTATTTTTTTTTTGAGAAATCTCAAAACCTGATTTCCAGGACTTCTGGGAAGATGGCAGAGTGGTGAGCAGCAGAAAAAGAACCTCTCTGGGATGTGGTGTCCTGACACTGGAATATAGTGGCATGAAGAGG